AAGCATCGTACGCACAGAAATTCCTTTGGAGGAATTTATGAGAAAAAGGGGTTCTACAAGACAAAAAAATAAAAATAAATATAAATATAAATATAAGAACAAAAATAAAAAATTGGTGTGGATGTGTATTTCCATGTCCATTGGAAGGAGACCCGACGTATACCTAGGACACATTACACCAAGGGCCGCCGTTTCTCACTCTCCTGTCCACTTCATCGCTCTATGAGGGGAAATATGGGTTTTCTAATTTTCCCGCCCATCTGGTGATTTGAGAGGTCGTTCCGATTGAAGGAGCTTTCTTTCCTCGTGAATACTGTCTACGGATGAGGGAAATGAAGGATGGAGATGGAGACTCTACATCTCCTATTTTCGCCCAAGTTCATTCTATAAAATACACTGTTCCGATGTGACCTTCAGCCAGACAACTGCCTACAGCAGCTAAACAGCTCAGTTACAGCACTAAGCCATACACAAAACGTCATCCCAGCAGAGTTTACCAAAGGGCGGAAAAACAGGCCCACATAGACGAAACGTTTTTCAAACTAAGGGCCTCCCCAATCGCGACGGTGATACTACCAATTGTCCAGATCAACCACCGTGAGCTCCTTGTCTTTTGCCGATTCTCCTTTATGTCACTGAATGTCTTCATTAAACCATACATATCTCGCCGATTTGTGTCTGACTTCAGTTCCCGAAAACGGCATCAAAATTTTGAAACTTCTTTCTCACTATTTAGGTCGCTTATGTCTATTTTGCTTTGCTTTCATCTCCACAACAACCTTGGTCAGGAAACGCTCCGTTGCGTACCCGGCCCATACTCGGTTCTTCCCTCCAGAGTAAACGCCAGGCCTCATGCTGGGCGGAACCCATCCTTCGATATCAAGCAAACAGAAGAAATTTCAAAAGATTGGATACAGGGAGCCCTATATTGTGTCTTCCGACTTCACCCCCAAAGGAACCCTAAGCCGAATCATTTCCCACATGTGAATCGGGTGACCTAGTCCCAGTTCTATGCGTTCACCCGAAGTGATCAGCTAGGATGGCACATATTTATTCGCGATGCCTCCTCATCGAGCTATTATTAATTGCAGTCACTTGTGTAAACATGTGCATCACATCAACAGCGATCGTCCTGATATAGATAGGGCTGCAAGCCAGAGTTGAACGATGAAAAGGCAATGCAAAATAAACTATTGTCTGTTTAGCTAACTGTATGGATATTAGAGCATACGTTGGAAACTCTTAAGGTAGATAACTACTTCCATGGACAGGCAGCCTCAATTGTCGGGTGCTGGTCAAACAATGCACACATCAGAAGCCCGGTCTCCTTGCCATTATCACAGGAGCAAAAAGAAAGAAGAAGAAGAAAGAAGAAGAAAGGCTTCTAGCTGTTAAGCAATTGCAGCCTAGCTAATTGTATTGAACGGCTGCTGCAGACTCTCTGGACACCTTGATGACTCGCCCATCATGAAATGATGTTCCACGAATAATCTTCGACTCCTAATACGTTTGGCACCATCGAAGAGTTCTTCTGTTGTCTGACCGTTAAGTTACTGCACCACGAGCACCCATTTGGACCTTGTAAAACGTATAGAACACCGTCCATTGTTTTTTGTTTTACGTTTTCGCCTTGCTGGATTGTATGTACGTACAATACAAACGGTGGAATGTCCCACAAGATCACCGACGATGGATATGATGCTCAGCTGCGCAAGGCTCTTCAGTTGTGGATTTTGATAGCGTTGTATAGAATGACTATGTCCCCAATTAATATCCATAGATTCTCTATGGGCCCCATCTGTCCCTCTACAACCCCGTCATCATTAGCTACCTCCTGTATTCTGGCCCATCAGGGGCGGGCGGAGTACGATGTCGATCGTACATAAGATGTCTGCTGAGGTTATTATTTCAGCTAGTTGAATATCCTCTCAAAGACTCCGTAAGTATATAGATAACTAGTTAAATAAACTAAGAATAAATATTTAACTGTCACTGCAAACTAACTGGTTACAACTGTTCGTCACTCACTTACTGCACCACCACCGTAAAGCAAAAGCTTGACGTTCGCTGGATAGCTAGTTACAGCAAAACCAACCAATCTCTTTGTAATTATTTAAAACACCATTTCCACTGGATAGTGGCGTTTTTCGGTCCGGTTGATCCGCGAATCGAAATTCGCCGTTGAAGAGTCCGTAAATCTTCGGGCTAAGTTATATCGTCTTCGCCCATCGTTAACCCCCACAATTTGAACATCTAACCACCCAAGAGCCGTGGACAACGACGGTCATTCAATCAACATTCTTTTGTCCTTCTTTTCTTCTCTTCCTTGAAGAGGGGGATCCTGTCGGGAGCATATCTGTCCTTTTTAGCCTGCTCCCCTCCGTCCGCTCTTTTCATTTTCTTCAATTTCTCCTCTTCCCTAAGTATGAGCTTGTCGTTGTCCATGCCCAGGGATTCGTACTGCTTTGTCCATCTTACGCTGCCATTCCCTGCGTGAATCGAATTCAAAGAAACAAAAAAGAGCAGAAACGGCTGTCTTCGTTGCGGATTCATATCGTCAGTCGCCTCCTCATGCAGGCAGATCAAGCTCCACCAAGCTTCTCCCCTATCAATTCAGCCATTGTTGGCAACAATGGCCTTTCGTTCCGGACGGGACAATACCAGATTTGGCTGATTACAGCTAGTTGGGTTGCTATCATTTGGTATCTAATAGTGACGGTAGTGGTTTTGGTGGGATGGCTGCGATTGTAAGGCTTAATTGTTCCATTATTCTATTTTGTTATATGAAGTCGATTCGAGGCGCAATTAATCCCAAAGCTAATAATAAGAATTCCCACCCACTCCCTAGACAGAAGCACTTATCTTCTGTTCCTAAAAAATCATTTTCTGCTTCCCTCCGTCCCTTTCAGGTGCGCCATGTCACCATGATTCGCCCGGTCAAAGGCCTCGAGCCCTACCTCTACGAATGTCTGGCCTCTAGCTTCCGTCAGGACTATCCTAAGGATAAGCTTACAATATATTTTTGCATCGCAACAATAGGCGATCCAGCATATCCGATCTTGGAAAGGTTACTGGAAGACTTTCCAGACGCAGATGCCCGGATATTCATTGAGGAGGAAGATGGGGACATTGGCCAACTCGGTCCCAACCCGAAACTCAGGAATATGAGTCGTGCATATCACAATGCTAAAAGCGATATCGTGTGGATTGTGGATTGTAATGTGTGGGTAGGAAAGGGTGTCTGCGGTAGGATGGTGGATGGACTGTGTGGGATAGTCGCGGACGATGGCACCGTCTATAAACAGTACAGATTGGTCCATCAGATGCCCATCGCGGTCGACGTAGGACGTGAAGAGCAGAAAATGCATAATTCGGAAGAGCCACATATTTTGCCTCATCAGGACTACAACGATATTAATCTCTCGAGGGCAACTACGGAGGCAAGGAACTACGAACAGGTATCTTCCATCTCAGCCATGGGTGGAGGCCGGCTGGAGGAGCTTTTCCTATCTTCCTCTCACGCAAAATTCTACTCCGCAATCAACACCATAGTCATCGCCCCTTGCGTAGTTGGTAAATCTACCATGTTTCGCCGGTCACACCTGAACTACCTCACGTCCCCTTCCGTCTCAAAACCCCGCGGCCCTCAACAGCGACGACCGGGAATCGACTATTTCTCCGACAACATCTGTGAAGACTATCTTATAAGTGACTATCTTTTCAAGGGGAAATTCAAGGACAAAGCAGGCGAGATATGGGGTAGACAACGTTTGGTCTACGGTGACCTCGCCATCCAACCCGTGACCAATATGAGTGTCAAAGCCTATATCCACCGCCGTATCCGCTGGCTCCGTGTTCGAAAATTTACCGTTCTACTGGCAACCCTCGTCGAGCCGGGAACCGAATCATTCCTCTGCTCCATCTATCTCGCGTTCGCTCTAACAACACTCCTGCCCCGTCTATTCCCGCAATATTCAGGCTCTCTAAGTTCGTGGGGCACATTCGCCGTAATCTGGCTCATCAGCATCACCTACTGGGCTACCATTGACTGGCTCTTGTATATAAAGCTGCATTCCGCTGCCACCGTCGAAGTAGACGAGCACACGCCGCCCTTTGCGCTTCCACCGTCCAGATTTCCGCGGCGTAGTATTTTTGGCGCCAAGCGCCAGTTCCATGAGTGGTTCCTTGCTTGGTTGGGCAGAGAGACATTGGCTTTACCTATATGGCTCTGCGCTTTCTATGGTGGATCAACTGTTGTTTGGAAGGATCACAAATTCTCTGTTGGAATGGATCTGATTGCGAAGGAGATTAAGGGGGAAGAGCCTCAAAGCACCGTCTCAAAGGGTAGCGGTGTTCCTGGAGGCAGCAATGGCACCACGGAACTACATACCAAGAGCCGGAGGAGCGGCTACGTTGCTACTGGGGTAGTTCAGAGGACGAGGATGTGCGGCAACGGATTATCCTAAAACCCACGGTTTTAGGCAGATAAGAAATTAAATTTAGAGATATATATATACATACTTAACCTCCCCCTATATTTTATTTTTGTTTAGTTTTATGACCCTAAACAATACCCAGATAGGTAGCTGGATATCACTTTTATCAGTTTACCCTGTTGCACTTAAATTTAGAAGGCAGACAACTTAGGTTTCTTTTAATTCATGTGTTTGCAGATAGTGGTACGCTCCTTATTGATAGCTCCTATTTTCTAAAATATATCATATATCATAAATAACCAACCATTTCTGTTCCAAATTAAACGCATCATTACTTCTGAAGTGGCTAGTGGGTATTCGTCATTTTGTTCAAAACTACATACAGCAGGTAGCTTATGTTTAAACCACCCGCTTCAAACAGAAAAAGAATATCATACCAACTTCTAAATACTTTTTACCCCCTCAATATTTTCTTCAAAAGCAGTTCAGATGAATTCCTCGAATATAAAAATTAAACAGACACATCCCCAAGGTCAATTCCCGTCGTAAATTCCCGCTCCCACTTCAACTGTCTCCAACTTCATTGATAGCCACCCCTCTTTCCAATCCTTTCCCCTCCTCACAACCCAACAACCACTCGACCACCTGCATGCCCTGCGAAACTGGTCTTCCTTCATCCGCCTCGCCGTTACCTTCAATAGCAGTGACACAGTTCACAATTGACTCTCCGTCTCCTCGCTTTTCTCCTCCTCCCTCGTCCACATCCTCATCATCAGCAGGTAACGCAGCCAACTCCGACCTCTCAGCAAGAAAGACGGCATCATGGCCTGCATTGTTCTTGGCCGCGATGTCTGCGCCAGCGTTGACTAGGGCTTTTACACATTCCAGGTGCGAATTTAGGGCTGCCCAGTGCAGCGGGGTATTACCGGAGTTATTGCGGTGATTTATTATCGAGTTTGTCGGCCTCTGGGAACTTTGGGATGTTTCGGTTGGCGTTTGGGTTGGTTGTGGCGTGGGAAGGAGACTGAGGAGGTAGTTGAGGGTTTCTGGTTTTGGGGATATGTGAGTTGATTACATCTCATTACATAGGGATTACTTGTAAAGAATCGTAAGATCGGGGGGATTTGGTTTTTTCCAAATTCCTTTGCATACCAATATTCCCATTAGCAGCTGGCCAATGTAACAAACACGCTCCCGTTCCTCCTTCGCTCTCGTCTTCCAAGTCAATGGCGCATTGTAAAATGTCAGACGCCGTGCACCCATATTTCTGGCTAAGATTTGTGATATCTGTCCGCAATGAATCTACGTCGCCCAGACGCGCGGAGTAGATGAGGTCATCAATTTCTTCGAACGTCAACGGCGTGGATGTCGTGCCACCCGCCTGTATTTGGGTGCTTGTGTCTGCCATGGCTATAGATGAGCTTTGATTTCCACTTGCCACTGTGATATTTAGGTATTTCTGCGCGGAAATTCCTTTCTTCTGGTCGGATATTGTTCTCGTTTGTTCAGCTAGTGGCTTTTATCACTGGACTTGAGTTTATTCCTGTGGTCATACATTGCAATTAGTATCAGAATGGGTTCAGAAAAGGAGGGGCAATCGTGCAAAGAAAACCCCCATTGGGTGGCCGAGGATGGTAGGGAAATAGCCAGAAAGAATATCTAATGTTCGGATCTCATTTTTCATCCAAGAGGAAAAGAAGTTATCCATCTTCTCATCATTTGAGAAACCCTTGAATAGGAAAAGAGATGTAGGGCAAATCTTGGCCGGGAATGGCTCATATAATTTCCAATGAACAACAGGGTAAAATCTCTTAAGCAGGAAGTTCCGCTGTACGGAAAATGTTATATCCATAAAGAATCCATTCCGAAATTACCAGGGGAATGAAGCATGAAGCAATGCAATCGTATCATTTAAAAAAAACTGACATTAGCGCATACCCAGGCATGAACAAATGCATATTATTCAACAGAAGATGCAGACAACTTTAATTCGATATAGCATCAGACTAAAATATAACAACAGAAGAGCGAGACAACAAGAAATTAAGAAAGGACTTACCAGAAAGATATACTTCACACACAATAACTCTCTAATGGGCTTGAATCTGGACGGCATTTGTCTCTTGATGAAACCGTGCTGGCGACAAAAAATATCGAAAGCAGCACGTGAACCCGAACTGGGACGGGAGGTTGATTAAGCGTTTGAAGCCGCTTGGGTTCCCGCAAAGTCAAATTGAAGCTCTTGACTATCAGCATCTATGTATCACTGTACTCAACACAAACCTAGAGTGAAAATAAATGGAATATGTTTCTTGGGCCCTTTAGAGTGAGCGATAGATAGAGTTTGTGGAATATATCTATTAAGGAGAAAGAAAATATGCGCTATAATTACCAGCATATTATGGTAGGAGAGCTTGGAGCAAACATCCTCCCCCTGGGCAAATTAAACAATGGTATAAAATAGCTTATCAGCGCAATATAAAATAGACGTATGTCTGAGGGAATCAGTGAAAAAAAACCAAGACCAAAGAGTATAGCATCTGTCTGACGTAAATGAGATATTCCCAAAAATTTCAACCGTCCTTAGCCAAAAGGAAAGCACAGTACATGCAAAACACCGTAACACCATAGAATATGCACAAAATTATTACTGCATCAAATCTGAACCTGCATCTTATCTCGACCCACCGTAAAACACTGGTCGAGAGGCCACGAGCAAAACAACAGTTGCACATCCAAAAACGAAACGAAACCAAACGAAATCAAAATCAATCCCTCAGCCACGCTCTCCGTTTCTCTTCCTTCCTCTCTCTTCTTTTCTCTTTAAAGGCTTTCAGCTCCTTTTTCGTTAGCTTCTTCCCGCTCCGCTCGGCCTTGAGGCTCTTGCCGTCATGGTTATTGGCCGCCGCATCCACATCGAAGTACGCCTGCATTTGTCTCCTAGTTTTGTTCTCATCGTTGAAGTTCTCCGGTGTCAAGGCACCCGCCTGCCATTTACCCGTAAACCGGTTGAACGTGCCCGTTGCTGTGTATATATAGTTTGGGTCGGAAGAAGAGAAAGCTGAAGTTGACGCGTCTAGTTCTGGCTGCTGGGTCACCTGTGCATATGGTGCGGTGGGATCATAGTCACCGTGGATGGCGGGATCGTAGCCGCCAGCAACTCGCGGTTTGTTAGGTTGCTGCCGCTCTGATGACTCTGAAGCGTCTGTTTGTTGCGATTGTTGCTGTGCGTCGGGTACCCGAGGATTCTCCCACTGCGAGAGACCAGTGAAGCGGTTATAAAAATAATAAGCTTGTGCAATGTCATCCCAAACTGGATCCCATCCGTCATCTTCAACTTGGCCAGGAGGAGCTTCTTTAGGGAGGGGCGGTGGGAGCTCTTCTTCTGGTAAGGGTGGAGCTGAGCTATCACGCCCTTCTCCCTCCTCCTCCTCCTCCTCCTCCTCCTCCTCCTCCTCCTCAACTTGCTCGCCTCCCTCAAGCACTTCTCCTGATTCCTTATCGTTATCCTCATCCTTGTTACCTAGAATATCTTGCTGTTCCGCATCTTTACTCTCCCTTGTCGACTCGTGTTTGGGAGTCTCTAGAGCTCTTGTCTCTGACTGTGGCGCGTCTTTTTGGCCAGCAAGACGCTGGGCGTCAACAGCGACTTTCGAAGCCATTCTGTATTAGCAGAGCCCTACCCCAAATATAAACAAAGGAAATGGTTCATAAAGATCAAGCAAGTGCGTCACCACGGCATTGCCTCAGAGGAATACAGCGTCAGTTTGTCACGAATCTCCAATATGCATTGGTAGCTTCCAAGTGGTGCTCTGCGTATCCTCTTGGTTGTCTTTAAAAGAAGCTTCTTTGGAAAGTTGCGCCATGGTGTCATGTGATTGGTCGATTCGGGTTTAGTGTTGGAACATTGAAATTCCTCCATCCGTTAAATGGAAAACTAGACATTTGATGTTGGACTAATAATATATACAATAACAACTATCTATAAACAAAATCTATATATACACGACCTGTGGCTTATCATTATTTATAACAGTCGATAAACGGACATTGCTCAAAACGCTGGATTAATATGTCCTTTTCTTTGGTGCCACGCTTGGACAATCTGTCTCATCCAACGTCGCAAAAATAACATCCCGATAACCCACCTTAACCGGCTCCGTCTCCTCCGTCTGCCACGAAAGGCTGTGTTTTAAGAACTGCACATCATCTCGATCAGGGAAGTCTTCACGAGCATGGCTACCTCTGCTCTCTTTCCTGTCCAAAGCGCTTTTAGCCGTCTGAGCAGCGCACGTAAGAAGATTCCTCATCTCCAAGGTCTCAATCAAATCCGAATTCCAGATTAGTGATTTGTCCTTTACGCAAACATCATGTCTGAATGAGTGCTCAACCTGCTGTACTTTAGAGACACCAGACGTGAGCGAGTCTTCTGCTCGAAACACTGCGACGTCAGACTGCATGGCTTTTTGCATGTCCAAACGCAGCTCGGCAGTTAATTTTCTTCCGTCTGATGTGCGGAGTCGTTCCATGTCTTCGAATGATGGCATACCGATATCCCTTGGTACGGAGCTGTGCAGCATTCCCTTTTCGTTGTTTTCTGCAATATGAGCGGCACTTGCACGACCAAACACGGCAATGTCGAGCAGGGAGTTGGCTCCTAGTCTATTTGCGCCATGTACGCTTACGCATGCAGCCTCTCCAGCTGCATAAAGTCCGGGGACTGGCGTCTCTTTTCCGGTTGCAAGATCAACGTTTAGGACTTGGCCCTTGTAGTTGGTGGGGATACCGCCCATACAATAATGGACGGTGGGAAGTACGGGAATCGGTTGTCGGGTAATGTCAATGCCCGCGAAGATGGAGGCCGTTTCTGCAATTCCAGGAAGCCGTTCTAGGATCAATTCCTTGGGAAGATGGGATAGTTGCAAGTAAATATGATCCTTATCAGGACCTACACCCCTTCCCTCTCTGATCTCCATGTTCATGGATCGGGCCACCACGTCTCGGCTAGCAAGGTCCTTGGCGGTTGGCGCGTATCGTTCCATGAATCTCTCTCCTTCGGAGTTAAGTAGGTAGCCTCCTTCTCCACGTGCACCTTCGGTAATCAGCACACCTGCGCTGTATATTCCGCTAGGGTGAAACTGAACAAATTCCATGTCTTGGAGAGGAAGGCCAGCTCTAGATGCCATGGCGCACCCGTCACCCGTGCTGGTATGTGCGGACGTGCAGGAGAAATAGGCGCGGCCGTATCCACCAGTCGCTGTCAATTCATTAGCCGATACAAAAGAACAACAGGAATAAAGATTAGGAGTATTTACCTATGATTGTGTTCCTGCTGAACAGACGGTGAAGCGTACCAGTTTCCATGTCTAGTGCAGTTACACCGACGCACCGGCCATCGACCATCATCAGGTCTAAGGCGAAGAACTCAATGAAAAATTTGCAATCATGCTGTGAAGCAGTTAGTTTGAAAGACCGTTCATATGCCAATTAAGCTCAATCTGACCTTTAAAGATTGACCATACAAGGCATGCAGCATCGCATGTCCGGTACGATCAGCCGCACACGCAGTTCGATAGGCTTGGCCGCCAGAACCGTATTTCAGGGATTGCCCTCCAATAGGACGCTGCAATCTCTCTAATCGGTTAGCTCTGTTCAAGCAACGGAGCCTTTTTGAATACATCTGACCTGATAAATCTTGCCCTCTGCAGTCCGGGAAAATGGCATACCATATCCTTCCAACTCTAAAACGGTTTTCGGGGCTTCCTTGCACATGTAATGCTAGTTGCCGTAAGCTTAAAAAATGTAGCATGCAAGGGGTAGGCTGATAGAAACACCTACAATTGCATCCTGATCCCCTAGCCAGTCTGAGCCTTTAACCGTATCATACATATGCCATCTCCAGTCGTCCTCTGTCATATTGCCAAGGGCAGCATTGATACCACCTTGAGCAGCTACAGTATGTGATCTCGTTGGAAACTACTTCCTTTTTCACATCCATGGTTGCGCAAGTCTGAGTTAACGTTTCTCAAATCTCGACATCCATTGTATATATGAAGTTGAATTGAATGCGAGCCAAAGCTTCATTGAGTCTTTGAATAAGAATAGAAAGACTGGAACACAACCTACCAATTTTGATATACAGGCGGTTTCCAACCCACATTCCGCCAGGCCAACGGCCGCCATAAGACCTGCTCCTCCTGCACCAACAACAAGGGCGCTGGAACAAATTTATTAGCATTGTGTTAAATCTTGGATGATTCCGTAAGTGTCAGCGAAATCCGTACTCATATCGGTGATCAATTATCTGGATATGATTAAGCCCAACAGCCTTTGCCTGCCCAACACCTTGTAGCGCATATAGTCCCGACGTGGAGGTAAAACTCCTCTTCCATAACCGCTGGTTGTCAAGGCCTGCCGACGGCTTCCTTGTGTAGTCATTATGTTTCGGGAAATAGGAGGTAGAGGATAGGTGCATGTCGACTTTGCCGGCCAAGGGGAAGTGCCGGGTTGGCGCGAGGATCCTCCTCATGGACATGGACGCTTGAGAAAACATCGTTATGTAGCGTGTAAAATCAAACCGTTAATTGTGAATATTTGTGTGTATCTTCATCTGATCTATAAAGCTCTTTCGCAGCAGTTTCAATTGGAATCGAACCCCACAAATTTGGTGCAATATTTCATGCAGAATCGGCGTGGATTTCTCTTATCTTTAAACAGAAAATCAACACACTGGTTTGATGAAGATTGTGCTTCCACCTTGCAGTTCCCGCTCCTCAGCACTCTCGTCTCTGCTTCGGATTGAAATAAAGACCTGTACCACTTATCACTGAGGTTTGAGTGTGTTCAACGAGATGTTAAATCCCCCCAGATAACAACAAAAAAAAAGAAAATCGCACTAGGAAGAAAAATGTGAGAAATCAGAAAATGAAATTGTTGATTGGCCAAGATAACCGAAGGTTGAGGCCAAATAATTCGCTTATTTAGACTGTAAGTACTCCCTAGAATGTCGAGGAGATTCATTTCGAAAACGGGCATATTGTTGTCCCAGCTGGAGAAGCTGTGTAACGCCCAGCGCGGGGTTTGCCTTCGCTATTTCTCGAGTTGCCCGCCATGTCCTCGGTAATTTCGGTAGTTAGTTACATGGATTCCGAACCGTCTCGGGATTGCACCGCTTTCTCGATCTTTGAAGGGCAGGGACGAAGTCTAAGGGAGTGATTGTTTATTTCCTTTTGTATTGGGATGGAGGGGAACACCGCTGTCAGGCTTAGCGTCTAATACACTGGCTTGGTGCGCTGCAGACCCCGGATGGTATGTGTGTGTATTCGAGAGCGACGCTGGCTTTGCAGTGTCGTACTTTGAGCGGTGGCGCCGGTTGTGGTTGACCCCATATGGAGATCTCGGGCCAAATCCACGGCTATTCGGATGAACGCACTCAGTGGTCTGCCGCCCGCGTGTTGGTAGTGAAGTGTCAACGTCGACACTCCAGGTGCCGACATCAACTGCTGATGATATAAAGGTATGATAATAAAGTAACTATCAAAAATAGATTGCTGAGGATATTTAGTTAAATATCATTTTCCTCCTTTTCATATGGTTGTCATTTTGAGGTCTTCATTAATGCCTTGATGAGGTCAAGTGCCCTCGAATTTCACAATGGTTGTATGATCATGGCTCTGGCCATTTTTGCAGCTGCTGACACTGACTTGGATCACTCAAAATATCGGCAATCAATAGCCGGGATGAGAATAGCCATAGTCCATAAAACGTTAATTATATCGACAAGCTGGGATCCTTTTTGTTCGCAAACGCATTAATAAAAGGAGCGCAGGGTTATTGCCTTGGGAGGCGAAAATGTATGAACATGATGGGTTGGACATCCTGAGAGAAAAGCAGGTAGGGAAGGCTAAGGGATGGACATATAAAACAATGTCTGAGAAACAACCCGTCCGCCCTCCTGGATTCCTGCAGTTGGATCCCACTGATAAATGAATCCTCGATCACGGCTCCACACATGCCCCGGATTTTCCCCCAGAGCACAGCATTCTTAGACAAACGAAGGAAATTGAGGATCTGGGAAGAAAGAACTCATATTCATTACAATCAGAGGCGTTCTAATTTGACTCTTGTGACACCCTAACAAAGCACTCCGGGCCCCGGGGTGGTTGGACAGTTTTCAGACATTTCTACAGCCTAGCGTTTGATTCCCACGGAAAAGTTCGACGGGTTCAAAATTTTACATGTGTCGGTTGGCCAGTGAACGTCCGTCCGTTCCATCCGTCTGCTGCGGTGAGATACGGATATTGCGTACATTCTTGCATAACGATTGGCCTCAGACAATCACGCGAGAGGTTCTTCTCTCAATAATTCGTCATCGCAGCACCACCCAGCAGCTGTTTGGTCTAGGCTTGTGTGGCTGCCGCCACGCCTCTGCAAAGGCCCATTTTTCAGGTATCAGCAAAGCGGGGGCGGGGGCTTGAAAGAAAATCTGCGGTCACGGAACGGGGAGCTCCTTGATCGATAATTATTGGGAAATTCGCCACGCTGCCAATCTCCAACATTCCAGTGGTCATTATTACTGAAGAATGTCGCATATCACAAAAGGACTGAGTAGTGTCCGCCAAGTTCTGTATATCCACTGTTCAGGGAAAAGGCTTGTCGATCAATTAAGTCAGGACCCACGAACTTAAAACCTTGTTTCTTCACCTATTGAAATTCTCCCATGCTTTGTGGTCTGTTCTCAGTAGGTTGGCAGAGTTACTACTGTACCGCTCGCTGGGTTCCAAGTTATCAACTCACTCGCTTCAATAGCCTTCATGACTCAATGATCTGGAGCTCAAAAATCAAGATTCGATCCAAATAGAGGAACAAAAAGGGAAATGATTAACTGCGCTGAGTACATTTGCAGTCTTTTTTTTTTTTGAGCAGGATCGTTTCTAATCGTACAAAGTACTTGTCTCTTGAGTTCCAGCCACCAGCCTATTTTTCGCCTTGGCTTTCAATTACTAGTGCGGTGAAGATCATTTCCTAATACCCCAGTGCAGATCTTGCATGGCGGGCGCCGGTGGCATCTCAAGGGGGGTTTGTTGCTTAGCTCCGCTCACGCCCGGCTGGCCGCAGAGGAGCCTTGGGACAGTTTGGTTGGCAAAATGTTGAGCACAGAGTTAATTACTCCTCTAGGAACTTCTTGACTTGGAGCTTTTCTTTTTCTTTTTTCTTTCTTATTTTTTTTTATTTTTTTTATTTTTTATTTCTATTTTTTTTTTGCTTGGTGTGAGATGTTGAAAACTTCCCACATCGCGTGGACTTGACTGAGGTGGAGCTCTTGGCCATCCTGTAGAACGCAAGATCCACCACGGCAAATGGTTAAGGGCTATTCCAGTGAAGCTGGAAGTCTGCAGCTCTAAAGGCGGGTGGTGTGTGACGTGCAGTAAAGTATATTCCTTCCAGTGGTAACATGTTGCATGTGTGTTTACTCTTGTCACTCTCAAAATCATCTTCTCGTGACAGCAGTGGCAGAACAAATTTTAACACAGGAAACTCATAGGAAGCGTTCAGATATAATTGGACATTTCGTCAAACCATTGAAGATTACCATCAAACGGCGCTGACGTGATCTCCCTGAAGCTGAAATCAAGGTCAAGGGAACTACACTAGCCGTTTGACTTTCGACAATGGTTTTGGGAGTCGTCAGTCGATCGCAATAATGGCACAGGGGAAACTTTGCTCGGCCAATCCGGTTCATGGTCGACGCCCCACCGTGATAAGGCTCGTGAATAATACGAGAGTGGAAGCGGTAGAAGTCTTACAGTACGTTTTGGAGACTTACAAGGGTAAGAGAACCCACACCCAGCTGACAAAGTGACAAATGCCACTGATATTCACCTATGAGCTTGTCTAATACTTTTCCAACTCTTGGAGCTCTAGCTCCAAACTCATTCAGTCTACCCCAGAATCCGGAAATTATTATAAACCAGGAACAATCTAGGAATATGAGACGAATTAGGACGTGGCACCGCAAAAATTCAGCCTCAATCGCGAGTCGTCAAAGCGCAGGGGATAAATCACATTCATGGTTCTTGGTTTTGTCTGTGCTGTCTTCTCAGCACTTTTAGAGAGCTCCGTGGGCTCAGTATCCCTGAATACCAAGAAGACTGCACGCGATTCAAGCTGATAGTGTAGTATTGTCAACCGTTTGTACTGTAACTTTACAATAAAATCCGAGCGGTTGAAATGTAGGGGGTTCACCGTTTGTTGTCGCATCATTCAGCGTGTTCCAGTTGAAATTTTTATGTCCTGTCGGTTATGGAGCTTAGCAACACTAACTCCACTTTAGTGTGGATGAAATATTTTGGCCAAAAGATTCAGGCATCAACAATGATGGGCGAGGTGAGGAAAGCGTCGAGGTGAAGCAGCAAACCCCGCAAGAGATGGATTTATTTCACGGTAATTGGCAGACGACCAGCCGGGAAAGAAAATAAGGAAACATATTCAGGGGCAGTTTGCGCCAATCGAAATCATCGGTCCCCCGTCCCAGAGCCACTCCCAGTCCTCGTTAAGGACTCCACTCGCTGGGCTAAGGGGCAGGATCGGCAAGCTAGCGTCTACCACGGATGAGCTGTTATCCATCAGATATCCACCTTCCTTGGTTCCCAGGCTTATCACTATTTACACGGCTGCAATATCGATAGCCATTTGATATTGAGTCTGTGTTCGCGTTGTGAGCTCAATGTCTTATTCAGTCATTCCCTTTGCCCCTGCATGTTTGACTCTGGGCGCAATGCCAGAACCATGGAATCCGGTTCCATCTCAAATCTTTTATCTGCCCAAAAAATAGGGGCATTTTCAATAGTTCATCCGCAACTATGTTGATTATCCTTTTTCATTTTCAGTTCTCCTGGATCCAACGGGGAGCTCTGGGAGCAAGGAGGAGCATGGGAGGTTCACACCGGCTGGTGCCAACATTGAGTTTCATGCACAATATTGGGCAGAGAAGAAAAAGAAAAGAAACACAGATTGCACAGCGAACTTACACGAATATGTGACAAGCTGTGTCACTATCTTCGAATCCTTGCTTAGATACTTTGCATGTCCAACATTTCCTCTTTGGGCCCCTAGCAACTAGGTTTTGGCGCGGCCAATCGACGTTGGTTTTTGCGTTTTTTGGCTGTCGAAAATTTACCCCCAGAGGGCTGGTAGAATTCTTGTTGAGCAAAAGGGGAAAAGTCGTCAGTTGAACCAAGCAATTTGTTTTTTTTTTTTTTTTTTTTTTTTTCGGGAGCTTCTCTCCGTCGCCGTATTGTATTTCCCATTCAGGATCATGCAAGAGACAGGGGGCATCAATCTTGTTCATGCTCTCAGACCAGGGAGCTCTAGATATCTATAAAAGGACACTCTCTGCCACTCCATCTGCATGTTCTTTCTCCTTTCTCCATCATCAGCATCAATATTTCAGACTTCATTCTTTGAGCATCCTGAAAAGCTCACTCTTTTTTCAGTCCTTTTACATATAACTCTTAATATCATCCCCCACTCTCCCGTCAAAATGAAGTTCTCCCTCACTGCTGTTGTCCTGGCTCTTGCCACTGCCGCCGTTGCTGCCCCAGGTGGTAACTACAAGGGTGCTGGTCCCAGGGAAGAAGGTCCTTCGATCTCGAGACAGTGTGGTCAAGCTCAGATCTCCTGCTGCAACAAGCAGATCAGCACCGTCAATGGTGGTGACAAGAACTCTGGTCTCCTCAATGGTGTCCTCGGCACTGTCATCGGCAAGGGCGGAAGCGTCGGTATCTTTGATCAGTGCTCCAAACTCAGCCTCAGCGGTAAGTTTTTGACGGCATTATTCGTTCTCAGATATATCGAATTTTAACTGATATTTGGTATAGCCCTTATTGGTGTCACAGACAACTTGAACTCTCAATGCAAGCAGACCGTGGCATGCTGCCAAGGAGATAGCAAGGCTGTAAGTTGAAACTTGAAACCCCGTCATGCCCGCCTCAGGTGAAATTTTGGAAATTCGACGACTAATGTGCCAAACAGGAGGGTCTCGTTGCCCTTAACCTCCCTTGCATTCCTATCGCCGCCCTCTAAGCGCTTTCGCACCTTCACATCCCACTATTCATTTCAATTCTTCGTCCCTGTTCCTCTAGCCATTTCGGGAGGCTAGGCTTTCGAGCCCTCGCTAGTCAGGGGTGGGGTTGCTTTGCATAGTGTCTAGGAAGAAACTAGAGACATCCGAATATTTTTGAACAGGAATATATATTCTTCCCATAGCATGCAATGTTGTTGTTCAGAAAGCCCTTTCATTCTCTTGTCTCTGAGCGTCGCTTTTGTGTATATGAGGTTGGTTTGGAGCATGATAATAAGATGTTTTTTGATGCTCCCTTGCGTGTGTACTTACCAGGTCGTTGTTAAATACTTAATAATAGAGTCTTGAAGCTTGATGATTTCAATATCCATTTGTTGTCTTTCCAGTTTCGTTCTTCGATATTTCGTGACCATCTTCTGAATCCCTCTATCCTGGTGACCCTTGTTAACCCATTGCCTTCAGATGGTTGTTGTTTCACCATTTCCCCTTCTCCCCAGCTTACTGTTAGTAGTGTGTTAACCTTGGGCAACATAAACACCACCCACCTCCCTCCCTTCCTCCCATTTGTGGTCACAGACCTGTATCCCTTCTTGCTCCATAGCCATGCAGTGAAAAGCTCGTAAAAGTCAGGACCAAGTTCATGTACGAGCAGTAAGCCTGGAGTCAATTCAGGAATTGCAAAATGCCGAGTCTCCGTTGTACATACAGTACCAAATAACTGTACCGCACAAAACTTGGCAAGCCTTTTCCCGATCCATTCCGTGCCAGAAGGTGCAAAAGCACGGATGCATCCAGAATATAAAGGAGGTGTGGTACACGTATGCACAATGAGAAATTGACGTAACACTTTGGTTATCTTGGTTAAGAAATACTTACAAAAACGAAAAATGAAAGCTGCTCTTCCAGGTTGCTAGTCGTAGGTTCAAGATAATAATAGATTACATCCGCCACCTTACCTGTACATGTAGTGATGATCCAGCTTCAGACCATATACCTCCAAGGCTGTCTCTGATCTTCCTGTGCTCTCGTGGAAGGTCAAGATATTGTTGTGTAACCGTATGCCGTATTAAGTGTCTCTCCCTTTCGTGTTTGTCTCGTCAATATACCTAGGCCCGGGATGTGTACATGTACAGTACATACATACAGAACACATGGTTACCTAGGTATTTAATATCACCGAAGGGAAATTGCATTATCTGGATGGGGAGAGTGATGCGTAATGTCTGTCTTATTACATCCATGAGGCGACAGTTTTCTGGTAGGCCAGACATGAACGTTATAATCGGGGACATATGAGACCTGAAAGTAACTCCGGTTATCAGCAGATTGAAGATATTGGAATTGAGATCTCGACGACTCCACACCCTCCCATTTACATATTATTGTAGGTATGTAAATTTGTCGGGATATCGAGATTTAGGCCATTTCTCGTCAAACACGAAGACGTTCTTTTTCTTTTCTTCTTTTTTTTTTTTTTTTTTTTGGCTTTGCTTAGGCTTTAATATATCGACAGTATCAGTGACCTGAGTGTTCTCCATTGCTTCCTTTACACCGTAACTCCTGCTCTCCAGGTTAGGTAATGCGAAGCATGAGAGAGCATCTCCGTCGGTGGACAACGGTGTGGCCTATCCAAAGATAAGTATCTTTGAGACGTGCTGGCAGCACTAAAAGTCGGATAATGACCTATATCAGCAGGATATGAACGTTCTTTTACAGGTTGATGAAGAATAAGGATCGGCACCATCAGGACCCAGAGTGATAGAGAAAGAACAGAGCCACCAGGACGTGTTAATAGGAATGACCCCAGCCCCTAGGGTGAGCGACAAAGTTTCTTGGACGATAACGGTGAAGTCGACAGATAAAACAACCTCTATCTTCACGGCGCTTGTAGAGGTAAATCGAACAGTTCGGATATCACTTGAGGTTGAGGGGAAGTTTCGGATATATGAAGAAAGATCCGCCGTCCGTAAGGCATGGAGGGAATCATTGCAATCAACTCCAAAAAGACACAATGTTTATTATGAACTTCTTTTTCTCTTTTCACTATCATTAACACTGGATAACGTAGGTTTCTGGGTAGACAAATAGTGCCTGATTAATAAAAATGGTAAGGAGCAAAAGCAAAACGACAAATTAGATCAGAAAAAATAAATGAACAACCATAAAGAAGACTGCAACCATGGATATATATATAGAGAGAGAGACGTTTATTCCTGAAACGTACTGCTACAAACCCATAAACATATGTATCTCATTGCATATATGCATATCTATAGTTATATAGCAGAATATACAAAAAATCTATCCACCTACTCCCCTACTTCTAGGTTCAGGACAACAGGGAACAGCAATAGAGATCCGTAACGAAACCCGAATGAAAACAAAAGGCGGGAAAAAATAGGAGAATCAAAGTTTAGCCGTTGGGGTGTAGAGCTTGTTGGTCTTTGACATAGCTTCAACAGCCTCTTTCTCGATACGAGTTAGAAGCTCTTGGCAAGTGGGGATATCGTGGATCAGGCCGATAACCTGACCAGCAGTCCAGACCTATATTACATGTTAGAAATACAGATCCACACGCATTCGTGGCAGCTGCAATATCAAGAGAACGAATACATACACCATGGTCAACATCACCATTGATGAACACTTGTCGTCCGCGCTTTCCACTGACAAATGGAGCAATCTGCGAGAAGTCATCCGAGGTCGCTGCCTTCTCGATCTTGTATGCCTCCTTGGCAACCTTGTTATTGAAAAGGCGGCTGGTATTTCTCCATCTCCGCAGGAGAAGTTGGGTATCTTCTTCGCTAGCATTCACAATAGCCTTCTTCACATTCTCATGAATGGGAGCCTCGATAGTGGCCATGAATCTCGTGCCCATATTGATACCTTCCGCACCCAACGCCAGAGCGGCAGCTAGACCGTATCCGTCCGCAAATCCACCGGAGGCAATGAAGGGGACGCCAAGTGACTGACGCGCGCGGTTGAGCAGGATGAAGTTTGTGATATCATTCTCACCGACGTGGCCTGCGCACTCGAAGCCGTCAATGGAGAGGAAATCAACACCTAGTTTCACGGCAGATTTGGCGTGTCTGATCGTCGTGCATTTGTGCAGGATGATGATGTTGGCTTTCTTCAGCTGGGCGATGACGGGCCCGGGGCTGTTTCCGGCTGTCTCGACGATGCGGACTCCCTCGTCGATAATCACCTGGGCGTATGCGGCGTAATCTGGTGGGACGAGGGCGGGAAGGAGAGTGAGATTCACGGCAAAGGGCTTGCTGGTCATGGTGCGACATCTGCGGATTTCCTTGCGGAGGTCTTCTGGGGTTGGTTGGGTGAGGGCAGTAAGCTAGGAGAAACATATGTAAGTGGAACTGGATGTGCTGTGTCCATGGATATGAATTTTTTTTTCTTGCTTCCCACGGTGGAGTAGACAAGATCTCTCTGTGTCTGTTTGGTATGTATTTGAGGCTGGGGATTTACGTACAATTCCGAGGCCGCCAGCATTGCTCACTGCAGAGGCAAGCTCAGCGTA